TCCTGGGACTGCAGTGTGTATACATGGGCAGACATTATCCTGTGACCGCAGTGTGTATACATGGGCAGACATCATCTTGGGACTGCAGTGTGTATACATGGGCAGACATTATCCTGGGACTGCAGTGTGTATACATGGGCAGACATTATCCTGTGACCGCAGTGTGTATACATGGGCAGACATCATCTTGGGACTGCAGTGTGTATACATGGGCAGACATTATCTTGGGGCAGCTCTATGTGTACAGACGGACAGACATTATCATGAGACCCCACTGTGTATACATGGGCAGACATTATCCTGTGACCGCAGTGTGTATACATGGACAGACATTATCATGAGACCCCACTGTGTATACATCGGCAGACATTATCCTGTGACCGCAGTGTGTATACATGGACAGACATTATCCTGTGACCGCACTGTGTGGGAAATGTTCAGTTTGCCCAGTCTCTTCATTGCAGATTCTGCTGGACATGATCCAGAATTATCCGACACCACTGAGGTCTCTGGTCTTGTCTGAAAACAACATCAGCATGGAGCTGCAGCAGCAGATCGCCGACCTTCTCACTGAAGGGGAAGATGACGATGAGAGCGAAGGCCCCGGACAGGAGCCCCCCATCAGGGAGAAGGGGCTGAAGAGTAATCTGGGTAGGTGAGGAGTGTTGGAGGGCGGGCACTGGTCAGAGACGGGGACACTGGTCAGAGACGGGACACTGGTCAGAGACGGGGATTAGGAAACATCTGCTTTCTTCAGAGAGAATTAATGGTGATTTATTATTACAGTATATATAAATGTCTCCAGTTCTTCTGTAATGTAAACAAAGGAATGAGGGTGCTTTGTGTCTCCATTCTGTCCCCCTGGGGATCATGTGACCAGTCTGGGGTGCCGTACAGGAGCTGAATGTGTCCTCTGATGGGGTCCTTTGTATCTGGGACCAGGTGATGATGAGGTGAAAGGTCCAGCAGTCTGAGAGGGAACTCCGGGTAAGAGAGCGGCGGTTGTTTATGGAGGAAGAACAATTCTACCATCAGTACCGACGGGGCCCTTTACAGTGAAGCTGCGGAGTGCCCCGAGGGTAACCATGAGTTAGTGTGACCAAACTAAGCATGACATGTACCGAACTGGCTGCTTTTCTTACAGCTAATGTTACCCACAATTATTATCATCATATAGGAGAGGAGTGCGGGGGGTATGACAGGGGGCACGTGCTCCATTCTCCTCCTCCTCTCTGATCAGTTCCCTCCTCTACCATTCTCCACCTCTCTGAACAGTTCCCCCCTCTACCATTCTCCACCTCTTCTCTAATCAGTTCCCCCCTCTACCATTCTCCACCTCTTCTAGGATCAGTTCCCCCCTCTACCACTCTCCACCTCTTCTCTAATCAGTTCCCCCCTCTACCATTCTCCACCTCCTCTCTCATCAGTTCCCCTTCTACCATTCTCCACCTCCTCTCTCATCAGTTCCCCTTCTACCATTCTCCACCTCCTCTCTCATCAGTTCCCCTTCTACCATTCTCCACCTCCTCTCTCATCAGTTCCCCTTCTACCATTCTCCACCTCCTCTCTCATCAGTTCCCCTTCTACCATTCTCCACCTCCTCTCTCATCAGTTCCCCTTCTACCATTCTCCACCTCCTCTCTCATCAGTTCCCCTTCTACCATTCTCCACCTCCTCTCTCATCAGTTCCCCTTCTACCATTCTCCACCTCCTCTCTCATCAGTTCCCCTTCTACCATTCTCCACCTCCTCTCTCATCAGTTCCCCTTCTACCATTCTCCACCTCCTCTCTCATCAGTTCCCCTTCTACCATTCTCCACCTCCTCTCTCATCAGTTCCCCTTCTACCATTCTCCACCTCCTCTCTCATCAGTTCCCCTTCTACCATTCTCCACCTCCTCTCTCATCAGTTCCCCTTCTACCATTCTCCACCTCCTCTCTCATCAGTTCCCCTTCTACCATTCTCCACCTCCTCTCTCATCAGTTCCCCTTCTACCATTCTCCACCTCCTCTCTCATCAGTTCCCCTTCTACCATTCTCCACCTCCTCTCTCATCAGTTCCCCTTCTACCATTCTCCACCTCCTCTCTCATCAGTTCCCCTTCTACCATTCTCCACCTCCTCTCTCATCAGTTCCCCTTCTACCATTCTCCACCTCCTCTCTCATCAGTTCCCCTTCTACCATTCTCCACCTCCTCTCTCATCAGTTCCCCTTCTACCATTCTCCACCTCCTCTCTCATCAGTTCCCCTTCTACCATTCTCCACCTCCTCTCTCATCAGTTCCCCTTCTACCATTCTCCACCTCCTCTCTCATCAGTTCCCCTTCTACCATTCTCCACCTCCTCTCTCATCAGTTCCCCCTCTACCATTCTCCACCTCCTCTCTGATCAGTCACCCCCCCCTCTACTATTCTCCACCTCTTCTCTGATCAGTTCCTCCCCTCTGCCATTCTCCACCTCTTCTCTGATCAGTTCCCCCCTCTACCATTCTCCACCTCCTCTGATCAGTCCCCCCCCTCTACCATTCTCCACCTCCTCTCTCATCAGTTCCCCCTCTAGGCCGGCTTACAGCAAGAGCTGCGGGGGGTGACCACTTTATCTTCGCCAGCCTCTCCTCACCATCCCCGTCCTCCTCCTCACTGCTGCCATATTTCTGGGGATGACATTCCTGGGTGCACACTCTGTTTATGGAGGAATGGAGCATCCTGCTGCCACTCAGCTGCTCTCTGTTGGTCCTGCATTTTATGGGATGACCAGGGCTGTCCAGGCAGACATACAGAACTGAACGACCCTGCATGCAGCGCCCCTAAAAATTTGGCGTCCGGGGCAAGCGTCCCTGTGACCCCCTTCCCCCAACTCTACTCCTCTGTTCTTAGTAAGTCTAATGTAATTTCTAATGTAATAAAATAATACCACATTATGGCCACTAGATGGCGGTGAGGAGCACAGGAAAGACGCGTTTATATCCTTTGATTCTCAGCTCCATCTAGTGGCCACATTGCTGTATTACATTATAACATTTCAATTTACATTCTACTTACTACGAGCGTTCATTTTTGTGTCTATACGTACAAAATGAACGTAGACAGGGATTCACAGGGTGAATGGCTCTGCAAATTGTTTATAAATAGACCCCTTAAACTTCAAACTTTCTGATCGATGACTGACACTGTATTCGACTCGATTCCTGCAAGTGCCGTCACATTGTGACCGTAGAGGAAAGTCCGGTTGGCTTTTTTTTAATGTAATATTTACTGAAAGAAACAGTACCCTCATTTCCTGTCCCAGTGGCTATATAGTGAGTTGATTTTCACCAAAGGGGACACACAACTGAAGAAAGTGGATTTGATTGGAGCTCCACTATAAAGCGAAGGTGACTTTTTTGGGGGGAGGAGCCGTTTGGCCTTTGACCCATTGGCGGACTGTTTGGGAATGTTACGAGCAGTTGAGTGCTCTGATAGTTCTGTGTGTCCTCCGCAGGTCCCGGACCGCACAGAGTCCTCCTGACCTCCGGCCTGGGTGACAGCCTCCTCGCCGAGACAGAGATGTGAGCGCACTGACACGGCACTTCTTCAGGATAACCCGAATGATGGCGTCCTGAGCGGCCGCACATCGGAGGAGACGGGCATCCTCTTCACATATTGCACAGATCAGAGGAACACGGGAAGATTGTATTTATTGGTGGTGTGTGTGTGTGTGTGTGTCCCGGAGAGGTGACAGGGTCTCTTATTGTTATTCCAGATATAAATAATATTTAAATATAGAATATATATCTAGAAATCTGCACAGGGGAACAAACCCGGCACTTTATCACCGACACAAACTGCTGATTTCAACCACTGTTCAAGCACAAGCAACTCAATAAAGTTTTTTTTTTGTGAATAACTGACCGTTGCCATGTGATGTGTGTGCTGGAGTTGTATGGTGGAGGGGCTGATATTAAAGGGAACCTGTCATTTGTCCATATACTGCACTGAGAACCATACCGAGGAGGCCAATACTGACCTCCTGGGAATGCTGTTTTCCTGGCTGTGTCTGACTTTAATGCTTCCTTAGTGACTGTCCTAGAAACAGAATTTAGACCCAGGTTGGGCATCCTAAGCACTCTAGCTGTGGTGGAACTACAAGTCCCATGAGGAATTGTAAGACCCTGACAGCCACAGGCATGACTCACAGAGGTCGTGGTGGGATTTGTAGTTTCACCACAGCCGAGGTTGCCTACCACTGAAGTAGAGAATGAGGTCAGAACACAAATGACTGAAGCCGCTGGATAAGCATGACAGCCTGGGAATCAGGATTGGCAGTTGACAACCTTCCCTACTATACATAGGCTGTACCCATCACTCCCATGTGACTGCACCTGAGCTAGCTGATTGGCTGCTGAGTGCAACAGTGTGTGTGTATGGGGGGGTCACATGTTGTCAAAAAGGCAGTAGCAGCAACTATTTTTTCGGGATCAGGTGGTGGGAGGTGAGTAGAAGGTAAGTGGATCCACCTCGGGGTCCCTACACAAAGGTGGACCTGCCATCTGCTCAGAACCAAGAGGACCAATCATTAAAGATCACACTTCACATCCGTCCACAAGGCTCCTGTCTGCGTCCGCCTTTGTTACCTGAATAACAAGCTGCTGCCAGCTGACGTCACATGATCTCAGCTACCAATCATTGGTGCAGTGTAGTTTTTGATGGGCCGTACACATATGGCCGCCACCACGTACACCGGGATCACAACTCCCTAAAAAATCTGAGAGGTGGAGATACATAATGTGCAATGTCTAGACTTGTCCACACACGGCCCGGTGCTGGAGCGGGGGATTGTCCCGGCCTTTGAATGCAGATATCTGAATCCTGAGTGCCGAGTTGTCTCTGTGGCAGCTCCGGGTGGCGGCGTGTCTTCCATCTTGTTCCGCGGGTCACGTCTCGGGGTTTCCTGCCATAGGGGACAGAAATCGTGAAAACACGACCAGCGGAGGAAGAACAGGAAGTGATGGGTGACGTTACATCTGATACAATGTATCACCTGGCAGATCACATGACTAGCGGAGGAAGAACAGGAAGTGATGGGTGATGCTACATCTGATACAATGTATCACCTGGCAGATCACATGACTAGCGGTCGGAGGAAGAACAGGAAGTGAAGGGTAAAGATACATCTGATACAATGTATCACGTTGGCACCTGGCAGATCACATGACCTGCGGAGGAAGAACAGGAAGTGATGGGAGTCTCCACACATAATGAAGGGTAAAGTTACATCTGATACAATGCATCACCTTGGCACCTGGCAGATCACATGACCTGCGACGGATAGGGTTGCCACCTGTACAGAAAGATAGGGGCTAGTGGCCCCTCACTGAAAATAATCTCGACTGTAATAATTACATATTAATGGGTGGCGCTATTTACATATGAATAAGCCTCAACTCGAACAAATATACATGCATCGCTAGAGTGTACAGGTTTCACTGGAAAAAAAGGTCTGATACAATGTATCACCTTGGCACATGGCAGATCACATGACAGATCACATGACCTGCAGCGGAAGAACTGGAAGTGAAGGGTAAAGTTTCATTTGATACAATGTATCACCTTGGCACATGGCAGATCACATGACCTGCAGCGGAAGAACTGGAAGTGAAGGGTAAAGTTTCATTTGATACAATGTATCAATTTGGCACATGGTAGATCACATGACCTGGAGCCTGGGAACACAGATCTGTGCCCACAGGTCAGGTGTTCCAGCATTCCTGGTGGCAGAGCAGCTTGCAGGGTGACATCTGTCATCAGGTGACACTAACCAATGTGCCGGCCCCAGTAAGGATGCAACCAAACCAGAGAGGTGCACAGAAGCTTATCTCATAAAAGTAACAGTAGGCATCGTGGAGCTATCAGGTGGAGGAGATTTTAGGTTTTGAAGGACACCTGGACAGAGAGAGAGGACATTGCCATTATCTGTTTTGGAAAATGCCAGTTTCCTGGCTCTCTCTACCTGGATTTAGAACAAGCATGCTGCCAGTGAAGGCTGAGGAAAACCAGCACTGATTTGCTGACTTTTTCTGGTTCACTGGATCAGCATGACAGCCCAGAACCTATTACCTTCCATATTTTTTTTAGGTTTCCTCTACATCAGGTGTCGGCAACCCCCAGCAGTTGTGGAACTACAAGTCCCACATGGCATTGCAAGACTGACAGCGATGTAGGATCGTGCACATCATCATCCTGCATGGCAAAAGCGGAGGCTTTACGCTGAGGCATCGTACATTAAGAGCTGATGTTGTCCTGGGTTACCTTTCACTCGGCCCTCGCAGTGAGTGAACCGGCAATGAGGAGGCTGATGTGCTGCCCATCGGGGGCACTAAACCAATCAGCTGAGAACCCCCCCACACACCATCCTGGCACATTATGGGCAGTAAAGACCAAGTCCAGCCAAAGGTTTTATTTCGCTATGGATGAAGTGTTAGGGTTAGAACCTCGTTTTTATTGTTACCTGCAGCATTGTTGGGGTGTTTTCCCATCACTTCCTGTCAGGAAATCTTTACAGTAAGGACAAAAACAAAACTGGATTGTTATCCTAACCGTCAAATGTATTTCTTGGAGTTCATTGAAGTGCGCAGGATTCACGGACAATTGCCACGTACGGCAGAAACAAAAACGTTGGCGTCGTATATGGTTGGACTGACGGTATCTGATAGTCTTGGAAACGTGGACCGCCGGTTGTCACGTAACTAGTTATCATGGAGGAGTCTTGTTCCTTATCGGAATTACCCAAACAAATCGCTCCACCAAGTACGGTACCACCCCGGGGAGGTTTCCTGTGTTCCCCTGCCCGCTAGCGATCCGGCAACGTTATTCCCATGACTCGCCGAGCAGCTTCCGGGAAACCAAAGTATGTGTGCAAAGCTGAAGCTTAAAGATAATTGACAAAAGGGCACCACCAGGAGTGAAGCCGGCTGTTTCACCACAGCTGGAAGACCAGAGTTTGCCTATCCTTGCTCTAAGGCAGTGGTGGCGAACCTTGGCACTCCAGCTGTGCCAAAACTACAAATCCCAACATGCATCTGCCTCTGGGAGTTATGTCCGTGGCTATCAGAGCCTTGCAATGCCTCATGGGACTTGTAGTTCCAAAACAGCTGGAGTGCCAAGGTTCGCCACCACTGCTCTAAGGGATCCCAGACAGGTGGGAGCACTATTAGGAGCTCAAAGATAATCTTCCCGTTTCAATCATTAACAGTGAAAATTAGGGATGCACCGATACTAGTAGCGATATCGCTGCCGATACCGAGTATTTGGGCGAGTACTCGTACTCGCCCAAATGCTCCGATACCTAGCACGAGTACTGCTAGGTAATGACGCGCTGCCCGGTTTCCTGATTGGCCGGGAAGCGGCTCCATGCTCTCTCATCACTTGTCATGAGAGAGCATGGAGCAGACTTCCCAGCCAATCAGGAAGCCGGGCAGCGTGTAATGACGCAGTCCCCGGCATTCTGATTGGCAGGGAAGCCGGCTTCATGCTCCCTCGTCATCTCATGACGAGGGAGCATGGAGCCGGCCTCCCGGCCGATCAGAAAGCAGGGCGTCTCGTCATTACGCAGCGCCCGGCTTCCTGATTGGCCAGCCAGACGGCTCCGGCTGGGTAGCGGAGGAAGGCAGCGTTCTGGCTGGAGAGGCCCCGGGGGTGACAGGCTGGACATACCAAGGTAAGAGGGGACATTCTTGTTAATCTGGAAGCCGGGTGGCGAGTCTTTACACGCTGCCCGGCTAATCAGGAAGCCAGGTGGCGAGTCATTACACGCCACCTGGCTTCCTGAATGGGACTTCCATTACTCGGTATCGGCGAGTACCGGAAAAAAAATTATCGGTACTCGGTACCAAAATACTGGTATCGGTGCCTCCCTAGTGAAAATGGTCCATCCTCCTCAGACACTAGAAGGAGGCATGCTGGGAATAGGTGGAGTTATACTGCACTGATCCTGCAGGCGGCATTGTAACCCAGCTACATAGTATTTGATGTTGAATAAAGACACAGGTCCATTGAGTTCAACCTTCGTGTGTCTGTGTGTGATTGTGTATGCGTGTGTACGAGTCCCTGTGTGATCTTGTTTTTAAGAGTACCTGTACCCCTGTATGTTACGGTCTCTGAGGAAGGTATCTAAATGCATTTTGAATGATTCAACACTCTCAGCTGATACCACCGCTTGTGGAAGAGAGTTCCAGAATTTTTTAGGTGGTGGCCTCTTGTCCTTGTTATGGAGTTTACAGTAAAAGGTTTATTGCTGATGTTGCATCACCACTAAACATTTTGTACATCAAAATCATTTCCCCTCTTAATCTCCTCACTTCCAGCGTGAACATGTTTACATTTAGTAACCTTGCCTCATAGCTTAGGTCCTCCATTCCCTTAATTAGTTTGGTTGCCCTTCTCTGGACTCTCTCCAGCTCCAGGACATCTTTTCTGTGGATTGGTGTCCAAAACTGGACCACATACTCCAGATGTGCCCAAACCAGCGATCTATAAAGTGGCAAAATTATAGACTTGTCTCTACAGTACATCCCCTTCTTAATACAAGACAGAACTCCGCTTGCTTTGTTTGCCGCAGCCTGGCATTGCAAGCTATTCCTCAATCTGTGGTCTACAATGACCCCCAGATCCTTTTCCATGTCTCACTTCCCTAGTGGAGTTCCCATTAATGTGTATTCCGCTTGCCTATTTTTAACCCCAAAGAGCATTACTTTACATTTATCGACATTAAACCTCATCTGCCATATAGTTGCCACTCCCCTATTTTATCCAGGTCCTCCTGTAATGTTTTAGTGTCTAAGTCCATGTCTATTACCCTCCCAATTTTGGTGTCATCAGCAAACACGAAAACTTGGCTATCAACACCTTCCCTGATATCATTAATAAACCGGTTGAATAATATGCGGCCCAGCACAGATCCCTGAGGCACGCCACTCATGACCCCAGACCAGTCTGAAAAGGAGCCATTTATCGATACTCTCTGGACACGTTCCTGTAGCCAGTTCTCTATCCACGTACAGACCACCTCATCTATGCCCATAGCCCTCAGCTTGTGTAGTAAGAGTTTATGTGGTACCGTATCAAAAGCTTTTACAAAATCCAGATATACCACGTCCACAGACTTCCCTCCATCCAGATCTCTACTCCCCTCTTCGTAGAATGTTAGTAAGTTGGTCTGACAGGAACGGTTCTTCCTAAACCCAAGCTGGTTATCATTTATTATACCATTTTCATGAACAAACTCTACTAAGTAGTCCTTTATCATTCCCTCTAACAGTTTGCATACTATGGATGTTAGACTGAGTGGTCTGTAGTTCCCCGGTTGGCATCTTGAACCTTTGTTGAATATCGGTACTACCGAAGCTTTATGCCAGTCACTTGGTACTCTACCAGTCATTATGGAGTCTTTGGAAATGATGAATAATGGTCTCACTATTACCTGACTGAGTTCTTTAGGTACCTTGGGGTGCAGGTTATGTGGCCCTAATGCTTTATTTGCATGAAGTTTTTCCAGTCTATGTTGAGCCCTGGCTTCCGTCAACCACTCCGGTATCTTGCACACTGAGCAACTCACATTCTTATCTCCAGTTATTTCTGCATCCTATATATACCTCGATGAACGAAAAACATTTTTAAAAAAGGGACAGAACCTCTGAAACCCCTTTATTGCTGCCTGCAGCTTCCTGTCCCAAAATTCCCCCCCATGAGCCCAGGACGCAACATTGCTCATGGGACTTTCCCCTCAAAGCAGCCAATCGGCTTCAAGTTTTGGTAATTTTGGAGCAAGCAAATAGCAACTTACCCCAGCGCTTTGTGACCGTTTCTCTTTACTTTCTGGTGGGAATGGGTCAGAGAACCCGCCACTAACGGAGGACCGCTGCGGCAGCGCTCACATCCCCAACTCAGTGATAATGACGCTTTACTTTTAAAATAGTTTATTCTCGTTGGAAAATAGACATCAGCTCTGAAAACATGTCAGAAAATAAATCTAGGTGAGGTTAACAGTCTTAGATCAGAAGGACGCGGAGACGTTAGATGCTCAGTGACGGTAATACTGCGGCGGGTACAAAAATATAGATATATGTCTCTATGGTGTCATGGTGGAGCAGACCGTCTCCCACACAGAACAAGGTGGAGAGTCCGGAGGGACGCGTGCAGACGGGAGTTGGGTGCCATCCGAAGACATAGAACACAAACCAAAACTGAAAAGATAATGGGGGGCCCCCGCTCAGATGAAATGTCACCGGCAGAATTTCACCACCACAAAAGACAGAAAAAAATATCTACAAATATAAGGACAAAAAACAAAGCACGAGAACAGATGATCCATCGCAGGAGGGACTGCCGGCTGTGACAACTCTGGAGCTCGGGGGGAGGTGGGCTACCCAGAGCTGGAGGGAGGATTTCCAGCCTGCCTTCCCTCTCACCCTGTCAGATAAGTGCCATCGCTGTACTGGGCAAACGGCACAGGACCAGATCAGGGGGCCGGGATATAGGACCGGATCAGAGGGTGGAGACAAAGGCCCTGGGATTAGGGGACCAGCTTGGCCAATCACTGGTCCTCCTCATCATACTTACTGACACTTCCTTGACCAATCACTGGTCCTCCTCATCATACTTACTGACACTTCCTTGACCAATCACTGGTCGTCCTCATCATAATTACTGACACTTCCTTGACCAATTACTGGTCCTCCTCATCATACTTGGTGACACTTGCTTGACCAATCACTGGTCCTTCTCATACTTGGTGACACTTTCTTGACCAACTGCTGGATTTCATAGGGGTCATGGGGAGGAATGGTTTCAAAGGATGAAATGGATGCAGACACACAGATGACCAGAGCAGGCCCAGGGGGGTGACAGAGTGCTAGGCCTGATCTTCTGCATATACCGTAAGGTGAGGCCGCGGCTCGCATACACGGAGCGCCACCTCTAGTTCAATAAGTTCCCCTGTTCCTGCGCCCGTGTTAGGCTGTCCTTGCGGTGAAGGTGATGCACACCCATCCTCTTTGGGCTACGGTGTGGGCGGCCACTCGGAGGTTTCTCCAAAAAAGTCTCTGGCTCTGGTCCTGGTTCTAGGTGGATCTCCTGGATCTGGTCTTCTAGTTCTTGATCTTCCTCTATGTCCTCATCGATGACAGGCGGCTCCTCAGTGTCGTCCTCTTCCTCAACACCCCCAGAGAGTAGGTCCTGAGCCTCCTCTTTGGAGAAGTCCCTGCCGTACTCATTGGGCAGATGACCCCTCTTTGAGCTGGAGCTTTCCATATCCAAACTGGACTCCCGGCTGCTGAGCCAGCTGTTTCCAGAGGACTCTCGTTCAGAGAACGCTTGAGCTGCATGGCTCAGTTCCTGCATAGAGCGGCTGAATCTCTGCTGCAACTCCAAGGCAGTGTCCCGGCTGTAGGACGTGCGATGGCCCAACGACCCATCTGTGCCAGGGGCCGCTTTATCCACAAACATCCTCTGCCAGTTGGCCAACATGTCCTCCTCAGAGCTGGCAGAACTAGGGGCAGCACTGCTTAGCGGAGAGCGTGTTGGGTTATCAGCGCTCCGTGCCCGCTGCGGGTAGCTGCCTGAAGATGCCGGACTGTTGGGAACGGTGCGATGCCGGTCTGGACTCCCATTCTCACCTTGTACCAGACTAAGGGAGATGGCTTGCCGAGTTGCGTAGGTACAATTGGGCAGCGGACTGTTCTTAGGAATCCGCACTTTCTCATCTGAGAACTCTATCACCTTACGGCCTGGATACATGGTGTGCGGGGGTGGAGGGGTGGGGTAGGGACTCAGTTTTTCAAAAGTCGCTGCTTCTTCGCCAGTGCTGTCCACGCTCCCCTGTTTCTGCAGGACACCATTTTGCTGCTGACTAGAACCGCTCATATCGACATGGACAAAGACATCCTCAGCTGTCGGGCCGCTTCCGCTGCTGGACATGGCTGAATTCAGAATGAGTGACTCTGGTTTCTCCAGAACTCGTGCAATAATAGAAGTCGGCACTACGTCAGATTGTGATAGGACAGGCGGAGGGGTATCTTGTCCTGATCCAGGGGAGGAAGCCGAGTTTTGCAGATGTTTGTTGACCATGTCTTGCAGCTTATACGGTAACTGTGGGAGACACACAGAGCAGCAATGACGCACCTATACATCGGTCAATGTAGCACCCCCAACTCATGCTTGGAATTGACTTTATAACAATTCGCTACCCTTTACTATACGTACCCACAACCTAACCCCAGCCAAAATCTCATTATATGTACCTATGACCTAACTCCCAACCACAATCCCCTCACCATACTTCTCTACAACCTAACCCCTGCCAAAATCTCATCATACCTACCTACGACCCAACCCCCCACCAGAATCCCCTCACCATACTTACCTACAATCTATACCGACCCAAAATCTCATCATACCTACCTACGACCCCAACCCCCCACCACAATCCCCTCACCATACTTACCTACAACCTAACCCCAGCCAAAATCTCCTCATTATATGTACCTATGACCTAAACCCCCACCACAATCACTCACCATACTTACCTACAACCTAACCCACACCATATGTACGTACAGACTAACCCCACACCAGTCCTCACACCATAGATATCTACAGCCTAACCCTACCCCAATCCCGTCACCATACATACCTACGGGCCTAACCCCACACCCTAATCCCCTCACCATAGATACCTAACCCCACCCAAAATTTCATCAAACCTACCTACGGCCTATCCCACACCAGAATTCCCTCACCATACGTACCTACAGCATAACTCCCACCCCAGCCCCTTCACCATACCTACGGCCTAACCCACACCACAATGCCCTCACCATATGTACCTACGACCTAACCCACACCACAATCCCCTCACCATACATACATACAGCCTAACTCCACCCTAATCCCAACACCATATGTACCTACAGCCTAATCCCTCCTACAGTCCCCTCACCATACGTACCCACAGCCTAACCCCACCACAATCCCCTCACCATACGTACCTACAACCTAACCCACACCCCAGTCACCTCACCATACCTACCTACAACCTAACCCAAACCCAAAATCTCATCATCATCATCATAGGTACCCAAGGCGTAACCCATACCGCAGTCCCCTCACCATACGTAGCTACAGCCTAATTCTAACTACAGTTGCCTTATCATAAGTACCTACAGCCTAGCCCCACCACAATCCCTTGCACACCTCTGATGAAGGACGTACTCACATCGGCAAATTTGTGGTTTCTGAAATGAGATTTGTTGCACTTGAGAAGCTGAACTGCGAGGTTACAGTCCTGGCGATATCGCTCCTGGAACAGAGAGAAAACGTCTGAGTACATATACAAAGGGATCTCATCACCTCAGGTCGCCCGGGACAGAAATAGAAATGCCCAGAAATAAGGTATGCCATGAAAACAGAAAGGTTCTACGTATACATTTCATTAGCATGAGGATGGCGGAAAGGGAGGAACCCAAAGAAGGCAAAATATAAGCAGAGGTTTACTTCAGCTTTAAGTCCGTTCCCTACTTTAATCTTTCTTATGTGACTTTCCTATAATTCTGCTGTTCAACAGAAATGTAGGTAGGAAGGAAAAGTAAGGTAGGTACAGCAGGAAAGGTTGTTGGGGTAGGTATGGTATCTACAATAGGCGAGGTATGAACACCTCAGGCAGAATTTGCATCGTCAAGGACACACTTTACTGACATTTAACTCTTCCAGTCTATTGATGGTGGTTTTTGCATCCAGAAGTTTGTTGGTGAGTTCCACGATCTCCCAGTCCAGCGTCTTGCGGTCCATCTCCGCCTTCTTTATCTGCAGATTAAACAGGAAAGATGTGCTCAGTGTGGATCAGAGGGGTTGCTGGGTGGGTGCAGGACAGGGGTGGGGAGGTGCTCGTACACAGGAGACAGAAGTGCCCATCATACAGGAGGAGAGATACAGCTGAGGTATCAGACATTCCATAATCCCAAAGCTGCCAGAGGGGAGGGTTTTTGGGAAGGTTTCAGACAAGAGGCTTATAGTTGGTGAGGCTCCAGGGTGCCAGACAGGACAAAACAAGGAATGATCCCCCCCACCCTCCACACTACAGCTACCAAACGCAACTGAATAGATCCAGCTTTGGCTGAACGAGGCCTGCGAAACCGACAGTGTGCGGCAGAGAGAAGGAGAGAGTTAGATGGAAATCAGATTAGTACACAGAGAAAGATTACAGAACACGACAGCTCCATAAGCAAGTCAACCATAGTGATGGCTCCACCAATCATCCACCATTATGGCTCCACCAATCATCCACCATTATGGCTCCACCAATCATCCACCATTATGGCTCCACCCAACACCCACC